CTCGGACTAATTTGAAAGTATGTAAACAATATACAATTTGCAGTTACATGATATTATCCAGGAGGCTTGTTTATGAGCAGGCAAGCTATCACAGGAATTCAGTTCCTTGAACATCCAATGAGACAGATAATCTAAGTTTAGTAACTCACAAGTCCCTAACACACAAGTAGACAGAAACAGGTACTGCTGAGACTGCACAGCCAGTCACTAGTATTCATTTAACAGCCTCTTGCTGTCATTAATAACACAGGACACAAAATCCTGCAAAGATACAGCAAGACAGATAAACAAAGATATAGCTACTCTCAGGAAAGAATATAGACCAACACACAAAAGCAAAGTCACCAGATACAAGAATTCCTGTCTTTTCTCTTTGCTTCCAAGCACTGCAGTAATATTTTCAATCATCTTGTTCAAATACCGCATGATCTCAGATGTAGAAGTTTCTAAATTAACAGTAAGTTACAGCTAACTGAGAATTGCTCTAAAAGTCACTCACTTAAAAGGCTCCTCTTCCTCTATGACTATATACCTTTAACACTGACGGAAGTGTTACAGATTAGAGCCCCAAAGCCAGTTATACAGATGTCACCTGGTGACTCCCCTGCAGAAGGGCACTTGTGGTGCTGCCATCGGTGCACAGTGCATGCAGATGGATTTAAAGATCCAACAGAACTTGTACTCGGTGTTCAGGTATGCTGAGAATAAGTCAGTGGATAAATTGTTGGAGCGCTGTTGGCTCACTTGTACCATGCCAGGCAGCACTGGCTAAAAGAAGAAAAACAGGAGGCTATTCCCCATGTCCGTCAACACAACTGAACCAGCTCAGGTTCAGAATAACAGAGGATGAACTAGGTTCATAAGTGAAACTAGAGCACACAGGCCTAACGAACCTGGATTTCACACTGTAATCCTTGCTGGTTTTTCCCATCCCAGTTGCACTAATCTTAAATGGGAAAGCTACGTAAACTGTTGTATATTTAAAGTTATACTTGCTGAAGTCTACTCTGACTACATTGAAATAATTAATGTCTATAATAAGTTTCAGTGGTTTAGCTTAATTCTAATGTTCTTTGCAGCAGGTAGAGACAGTGTCTAGTTCCAGTCATTATTTATTTTGCCTAAATTGTCTACTGAAGGTGAATCTGGCATCTCCTATGATATCAAAGAAGAAAAAGCAGAGACTAACATAAGGAACATAAGGAACATCACCATAATGTTACAATTCCAAAGTGCTGAAGACATTCTTATGAATCATTTCCAGAGGTTAAAAAGTTTTACCTGTCAATTCCCTTTGTAAATGGAATGGCAAATCATATAATATCAACCATATGCTACTGTCAAGCATGTCTTTCAACAACTGTGTTATCATTACGGCTCCTGGTACGGGGCCAAGCACTGAAACACATTGCTTACTTTTATATTTTCTTGAAGGTTCTTAACGCATTGAATTACATTCCAATTATAGCAATAGAAATTTTAGATTATAACCATATATTTTGATACGAGGCAAACCCATCTAATTTGCTAAAAAGTCCAGAGTATTACACTATAGAACAAAAATATCAGTTTGTCATTGTGTCTTATTCTCCAGTGCTCCTTCTACACTTGCTCCAAAGAGACACTTAGTAAAGGAGCCATGAATTATCAGACAAGTTAATCTTGCTAAGGTTGCATCAGCATTAGTTTAACAATAGGTCAGAAGAAGAAAAAAATAAATCTGGAGAGGTTGCAAACTATGATTTAATGGCTACAAAAGTGTATTTTGTTAGTGAATTATTATTCATAAATCATTCAGTGTCTTAATACTGAATGCTACATGGTAAGTGAAAGATAACCAGTGCGCTGCATTTAAGAGTTCTTTGGTCTTTACATCTGTTTTTTTACCAACATCTAAAGAAAAGAACAAACATGGTTTTTACTTTTGTGGGAGGGAAAGGGGAAATATATATATGTATATGCTTGAGGAAATTTGACTCAAGTAGTTGCATAAAAATGTACAAAAACACTGCTAAGAGCAGATTTTAGTCCATTATCCTGCAATCTTAAATGTCAAGAAACAGAAGCAATTTGCAAATTAAACAGTTGAACAAGATGAAGATTGGTGCACTGAGTAATACCCAAAGACTCGTGTAGTGTTCATCCATGTAACAGAATCTAACAGCTGTACAGTTCATGCATCAAATATTTTGAAAACTCAGAATAAACTGATTCTACGTGAAAGCTAATTAATTGAAGTCAAATTAATCAAGAATGTGGAGTAGTACAACTATTTTCCTAATCACAAGCAGATAAAATAGTAGAATTATAAGTGCATTATATTCCATCACTTCATGAAGTAGATCTACCAGTTGTTCAGAAAAAAAAAATCTAAAACAAACAACCTATTAAGGAGGCAAACACACTGTATGAATAAAATTACTATTTTTATAAATCCTCAAGAGAGACATCCAAATAGAAAAAACTGAAGCAGTCACATGCTCCATTTTCATAAGTAAAATGCATCTAAATAATTATGCGTTTGGTTCTGTAAAACCTGTATAAATCTAAAATTAAATTAAATTATAAATGGTGTTCTTGTAAGAACTAGCCTTTTTGACTGTCTAAACACTTCCCTGTATGGCCTTTTTCAATACCTTATTGTTTTCTGAAAACATGTGTCAGTATTTCAGAACCTAGTCTCTGTCAACAAGCATTTTTCCCATTTAAAAACCATCAAAACCAGGTTATTTATTGGGTCACAGACTTGAAACACGAAAAAAGAAAGAATCTTTCTCTCTTAAGCTCCCCCTGAAAGAGGACAGGAAAGGATGAAAATAATTTTTTTTTAACTGTTCTGACAGTGAAGACAACATTAATTTTCGGAAGACAGACCCTTCAATTTCTTGAAGAAAATCAATTTTGATCTTATTGCTTTATCAGCGTCCCAAATTCCCTTCACAGCCATTTTGCCATAAATTTCCTATAGCTAAGGCAACCACTATTTGCTGTTTCTCTTAGCATCATATAATTCATAACGTCTGTGCTCTAACACAAAAAATATATTCAGGAAAAAAAAATGGAAGCCCTCTTTTAGACTTAACTCTGTTAGGCATATATACAGAGAAGTGTTCAAAATTAATGAGAGGGTTAATTAGGGTTTTAGCCTTACTTTTTTGCTACTTGCCCAGAGGCTTATGCTGAATTTTACATACTAAATGTGTAATCAAGCTTAGAAAATTGAAATAAAATTGAATAAAATATGCATAAAAGAACCAATAGTATTTTTTTTTACTCACAGCTTACTAGACTTTGATAAAAGGAAGTATAGCTAGCTATGCATTTGTTATAAATAACTACATCCTCAGATCCTTTTTAACCCTCTATTCAAAAATGTCATTACAAAAAAATCTGCTTTTATGCAAAGGTTTCCAGTATTCCAAATAACTTGCTTCCAAGTACTTTGCCCAATGTTTTAGGCTGTCAGAAACAAAAGAAAATTTAGGTAAATGACAAATGTTTTGCTCTTAGCAAAGCCTAAATGTGTGTGAGCTTATTTTATCAAGAAATTCTGATAAAATTCTGACCAAGACGCCATGCTAGTATCTCTGAAGAGAAATGACAGACAAAAAGGTGAACAGACACTGCATTCCTGTAAGTATTGACTCCTTAAGTTGTATGGAAGTTTGCTAGCTGGGAGAGCTGGACCAAAATGTATCAGAATAACTTCAACAATATTTAAATTTATCAATGACAAATTGTGGATAATGTATGTACCTGACGAGAATAACAAGATTCAAATATTTCAACATATGTAAAATGATGACTGTCCAGAAGCAGCTAGCAAATTAACATATAAATTTTTTTTTGCTATAGGTTATAAAGTCCTTGAAATCTGGATATATATTTTCTAAATTATTATGTAGTGCTTCCCACAACAAAACTTGCAACTTGCTAACATTCAAATGCAAACATGATAGGTATCTGAATAATAAACAACAAAGAAAAAGTTTATTTCCATAATAATTTCCAGATTAGCTGCAGCTAAAGCTTTGATGAGCCTGCTTACTTCACAGCTCTCGTGAAGTACTGATATCTCTCACCACTGCACAAGCAAATAGATAAATATCTGAAACAAGTTGCTGCACCTTAATAAACACAGAACATATATACTGAGAAAATTACCATATCACTTAAACTTCCAGACAAAACCATACTATGTGTTACATCTATGTTCTCAAATTTCAAACAAATCCATCCCAAAGATGAAGCACAGAAAAACTGTATTGCTCAAGGACTCGCAAAAAATCAACTGTTGCATTCATGCACTGAATCTTGGTCTCCTGACTACTGATTTAATTCCTCAATAGAAGCATGGAACTTCTTCTTAAAATTAATAAAAGTGTAGCATGCAGGCTCCATAATATCATAGCAGATTTTACTTGGATGACTAAATATAGTTTTAAAGTTCTCAGTTTCTGTTTGAGTTTAAAAACTACAATCACTCATTTAATCTATTTACAGTAGGGATTTCTACAATTAGGCACTGACACTATAAAATTTAGAAAAACAGTCTCTGATTCATTTGACATTTTCTATAGTTTCCCAAATTAACAATTTATTTCTGCTAAACTTCCAGTATTTCACAAAAATAAAACCCTTTCAAGGTCCCAGATACAGCTCAGCTGAGGTACTGAACAGCTGAAAGGATCACAGTGCTTGTGTCTGGTCTTCAGAAAAACAAACACATTACTGTTCACACCAGTTCATGCAAATAGAAGGTAAAATGAACACCATTTTGACACAAAGCATGCAAAATTTTTCTAGTTCTGAGAAGGCTGCAGAAAGTAAAGCTTTTGTTCTATGGAAACAAGACTCAAACAATGGAAGAAAAAACTTCAAGACAAAACAATACCCACCTTTAGAAAGGGAAACTAATAGGCATGCATTATTAGAAATACAGAAAGTAATTTTGTTTTTTTTTTTTTATGATATATTTATTTTGTCTCATACAGCCTTACCTTTCTCTGTTAAATTTCAGAGAATGTAGGATAGCTGGTCGTTTCTGTCGAAGATTCCACAAATGAAGTGCATCATCTGCACTTGCACTGACCAAAGCACCCTAGAGCAGACACAAAATAAAGCACAACATATTATTCTTTTGCAGGTTCCATCTATTTCTTAAGTGATCCTCGCTGTTAATGATCTGCAGTGCCACAGGCTTGGTGAAGTGTGGCTGGAAAGCTGCCCTGTGGAAAAGGACCTGTGGGTATTGGTTGACAGCTGGGTGAATATGAGCCAGCAGCATGCCCAGGTGGCCAAGAAGGCCAAATAGCATCCTGGGTTGTATTAGAAACAGCATGGCCAGCAGGACTAGGGAAGTGATTGTCCCCTTGTACTCAGCACTGATGAGTACCGTGTTCAGTTTTGGGCCCCTCACTACAAGAAAGACATTGACATACTAGAGCACGTTCAGAGAAGTGGAACAAAGCTGGTGAAGGATCTTGAGCACAAGTCTTATGAGGAGCAGCTGAGGGAACTGGGGTTGTTCAGCCTGGAGAAAAGGAGGCTGAGGGGAGACCTTATTGCTCTCTACAAGTCCCTGAAAGGAGGGTGTAGAGAGATGTGGGTCAGTTTCTTCTCCCAAGTAACAGGCGATAGGGCAAGAGGAAATGGCCTCAAGTTGCACCAGCAGAGGTTTAGATTGGATATTAAGAAAAATTTCTTCACTGAAAGGTTTGTCAAGCATTGGAACAGGCTGCCCAGGGGAAGTGGTTGAGTCACCATTCCCTGGAAGTATTTAAAATATGTGTAGATGCAGTGCTGAGGGACATGGTTTAGTGGTAACTTAGCAGTGCAAGGTTAACAGTTTTACTTGATGATCTTAAAGGTCTCTTCCAAACAAAACAACTCTATAATTCTATAAAATGAAATTACTGAAGGCAAGACTTCTCCAATGCAATGTAATCCATGTATTAATTCTCATCTCCCGAAGAGTTTAGACCAATGTCAGAGAGAATCTCCACCACATTAATCAAATTAATACGGTGTATTAGTGGTTTTGCTGGCCACCTCATTAAAAGAAAGAATGCTTGCTCAAACCATTGCCTCCCTGTTTTCATCCCTGCATTCCTCTAAAGGATTCCACTGGACTGATTGTTTCTAAAGTTTAGTCTTCTCTCCTCTGTTTCTGTGGTGCAGGTACTTTCTCCAAACAGGAGTAGAAAAATATAAATATTTATCAGGTTTAAAAAAACCACAAAACTAAAACTCTATCCTTGAGAAGCTCTAAGATCTCCACACAAAGAAAGAGGACTTGAAACTGTGAAAAGTGTTTCCTTATGTCATTGAAGAAAATTAATTAAAACTGAACTACGATTAGCTTATAATTTGGCCAAGTTATGAGGTTCTAGGAAAATAACCCACAGACTTATATACTCCAGAAAGTCTTCTTGCTTATTAGCATCTCCAGAGATCTTCTGCACAGAGCAAGCTATAATCTGTCACTGTTTCTTCATGTCATCTCAACTTGATTTCGACAAACCATTTACAAAGACTAAGCATGCTGGTTTGATTGATGACCCCTGCAATTGCTTTTCCTTGCTTCAAGTAGTAGCATATCCCAAACTATTGAGTTTTCAGCCAAAACCCATCAATATATTTCCATAAAGATTTAGGTCATTTATTAATTTCTATTTGAAACAAGACTGTGCAGCATATTTAGTAATTTAATGGATTTTACATCTACCTGCACGCATTCATATATTGATTGGCTTTTGTTCAGCAGTTCATACTGATGTATATGAAGATAATACATTTCTCTCAGTGCAGGCCCATAAAAAGCCTTCTAAAAGGCTGCATGGTGAATGTCCTCTGGATGTACGCCATTTACTTGTTGGCACAATTTGTCAATGTGAAAACTTATAACACTCAATTACAACACATGAATTGACTTATTCAACTAATTTATACAGAAGAATCTGAGTAAATATGTCCTTACCTCATTGATTAAGAACTGAAGCTGCAGAACTGCAGCACCACTTTCATGTTGGCAGTAGCAATCAACACCAGGCCTGCCCAATCTGTTGCCATCAAAGTCAAGGATTCTAACATTCCTGTTATCACCAAAAGCAAAGAGGGAAAAAAAAGAACTACCAATTAAACTCTAATTAACCTTTAATTGACCTCAATTCTTCTTGCTTTCTGTAAAACAAAAGAATTCATGCTGACTTTCCACTGTTCTAATATAAGTCCCAACATCATCCGGCAGAAACACGTACAATTGTGAGTGATGTGTTCTTGCCTGGGTTTTTTTGCCTGTGAAATAAAGTACATGAGTTAACACAAAAGCAGGATGCATCTTAAATTTGGTTTTATACATTACAGGCTCATTTAACACATGAATGTATCAATTTCTGTACTTATCAAGACATTATAAAATTAATAATTTAAGACTAAGGTCAATAACAGTTTTGTAGCAGGATTTCTTTTTTAAATCTGAGAAAATGCTTTTTAGAGTGAGTCATTTCACACTTACATAAAAGCTCACATATAACTATTGCTCTTTGTCTCATCAACAGAAGTACAATGCAATGCCTGGCAGAGTTAGCCAAGTCTAGCTATGAGCTACATTCCCCAGTTCAATCCCCAGTCTGAGCGAAACCACAGCTTCACTGCTTTTGGCAACCCAGCTAGTTCACTTGCAATCAACATCACCACACTGCTTTGCAGCAATATCTTGTTGTCCAAATATATCATCAATGTAGCTTTCTATCTGCTCTCCAGGTTTTTTTCTCTGCGTGATAAATTGCCACCTCACTAACTTAGAAGACGGCCTTTCCCATCTGAGTCACAGACTTTAACAAGAAACTGCTTTTCCAGAAAATAATCAAAGACAAAAAGTAAAAAAAAAAAAAAAAGAAAACCAAAACCAGAAGAATATGAAGTATATTATCAACAATCATGTTGTATGAAGCAGGTGAAACACTTTCATATGTATTCAAAACATGAAGATTATGATCAGAAATAAGATTTTACAATGTAAAGCCTTATCTACTTTTTATATATGATCATATTAGTATATTGTAAAATCCAGAATAAAAATGCCAACTGTCCACCTATACTGCAGGCAAATATCAGAATCTTTACTTCCCCGTTCACAGGTGAAGAGAATTGCAATAAACTATTCTAAAATTGTCCTCAGGGAAGCCCACAGATTAGCAAATTTGAGGGTTAAAACTTTACAGTATTAAGTAATTACTTTTCCAATTCTTAAACAAGCAGTTGAATGGAGACCACTGATCTTGCAAAACCTAAGTTTACTCCTGATTTTGCCAACTGGTCTACTGGATAAATTTAGGGGAAAAAAAAATAAAAAAGCAGAAGTCTCTTTCCTTCCCTGTGCCTTCATTTCCCAATTTGTAAGTTGGAGATAGTGTTTTATAAAAGAATACAATATCTCCTTTGACAGTGATCTCAGTGTACTGGTATCCAGATGAAAAGCTGTGCATAAACCATCATAACTATGTCCATTATAGGACAGCAAAGCAAAGAAAAAACCCAAAGTAACTCTATTTGCCACTTATTCCCAAACTGTAGTCTGAATACGGTCATAACTGATAAAATAAAAACAAACTGTGCATTACTTAAATAACATGTTTAAAATGGACAATAAAGATATATGGCAATCTAGGATACTTTTTAAGGGTTAATGGTAATCTTCTGGGCCAGTTTGAATGACTGCTCTGTGGCACCCTTTTTTTATATTGTTCCCCACTGCCTGCAAGGTGAGAAGAAGCAAGACTAGCATCAAAACCAACCAACCCACCCACCCATCCACCAGGGATTTCAAACTGAGTCGGAAGTTTAAACAGGTGTTTTCTCTTTAACTTGAGTTTTATTATTCAGTACAAATACATGGCAGTAGCTAATGATTGTCCTTAATGAAAATTACCCTAGCATTGCCCTGATTAGGTGGCTGTCACCCTTCTGCATCAGTATCATGCTAAGTCAGTTTTCTAGGAAACATCCTAAACAAAGTAGATGATTTCATTCCGCATACCCCAAACAAACAAAGCATTCTCCAATAATTCACATTTATTTGCATAAGTGTTCGGCCTGAAATACTTCACAAATTACTAAAATAAGAGAGAAATTGTGCCGTCTGCTTCAGTCTGGCCAATTGCCCTGAAGTAAGGACTGATGCTGAAATAGCAGCATTATCACTGACTGATGGTGGTTTCCAAACGTTCCGGGAGCTGCAGTGAGGTCCTTCCAGCAGAAGGAGCTGAAGAAGAGATATGATGACTTGGCACTCATTCTTGGCACTTTAGCCCATCTTCTGCAAATTCTGTGCTTTGCTGCCAAGCACAGAGGAGTACAATCTTACCTCATCAAATCTTTTCATACCAGTGTACTCTACCAGGACATATAGCACAAGTAGCTATAGTACAGGCTTTGGACTGAATTTATTCTTTTACTTTTGCCTTTTTATTAAATAATGACTCTGCTATCAGGGAGAGTGGAATATCTCTGAAGATATTAAAAGGGGGAACTAATACAGATATATTTGAATACCTCAAAGTACACATTATGTGTTTCAAGGATAAAAGCCAGTCACTATCTTCTCTTTCTTATCAGTATGTTGGATCTCCCAGGGGCCTTCACAGACATGCCAGATTATCCTAATTTATACATAAAAGGGAAAAAGATGAAAACTATGTCTGGATGGCTGTTGCAATCTAGAGGGAAACAAGCAGAATCAGAATTATGTGCGTCAAGCAGTAAAAGTGTGACAGTAGTAACAGTCTAACAGAAAAAAGTTCATTCTGGAAACAACATCTAATCCAGATCTTAAGATCTGCATGTGTGAAATAAGATATTTTGCTCTGTTTTCACTTGGAAAAAAAAATAAAAAATAATCAGTTGTTAAGATCCTAATTTTAAGTACTTGAATTCAGCTTCCAAGATGCAGACTTCCATGACAGCATAATACATTACTAATAAAGAATTTAAACTCTCATGTCTGGGGCCATTCTATCACAAGTTGATGAAAATTTCCATTTCCCAATATTACAACCTGATACATATTTATTCTCCAAATACTTTTGGAGGATTTGTCACTTGTGGTCACTTATATATTAACTGATCTTTATACATCTGATATTGTCATGTCATATTGGTACTGTATTTTGAATGTCTGAGGACATGCATATATGGATATGTTTTACCGGAAACCACAAGTTACCAGTGAATGATTATATACATAGGAGAGGTATCAATGAGCAAAGCTTCTCATAAGCATGATCTATGACCAAACTTTCCACAGCATCCCCCAACTTTCTTATTCCACAACTCATTTTTACTATATGACACACACAGATCTGATGCCTCTCATTCTTCTCAGAGGTTAGTACTAACAGAATCCAAAGACCTGAATCTCTTGTGTGTTTGCTGAGAACCAAAAGTGCAGATGCTTCAGAAGTAACTCCTGGAGTTGAGGTCAGTGTTACCTGCCACAGGTATTTAACTTCTTAGGACCGGAAGGTTTAGAGGTAAGACATGTTTTTCTTCATTAAGATGGGGGATGCTTTAGTAGTGTGGGATTAAATCATTTTGCAATAACAAGGACTGCAGTCTGATTCGTTCCTCCTTGCAAGGCAGAAGAACTGAAGACATGGTATCACAAAGGACCTCCTGCCAAGGCATGCCAAGCAGCTAATAAGTATCCCTTGTCAAGTAAAAACTGTTAAATTACATATGGCATCTTTTTCAAAACTGAAACTCTTCCATAGAAGAAAATTACTCTAAGTGATGTAAATAAGCAACTCTGACTTTTTTTTTTTTGACTACTTAACTAACTTCTTCCAAAAACTTAACTAACTTCTTCTAAAAACAATCTAAAAACAGAAATGAACATAAAGTAAGAGGTTATAATTATTAAGCAAAAACCATGGACTCAAATCCACTATTTTATTAAGAGACACACATAGAAATGGGCGATCCTCACTTTTAGCCTCTCCTTTAAAACCCTGGGGAATTGCGGGGTGCTGCAGAAGTAGCATTGCTGCTTGAAGGAGCCCTGTCATCTGATCTGCGCTGACTGGTACGTGTTTGAGTAGGAATATGCAGCACCCTAAGAGCAGATGCTTGTGGGCTGGTGTTACTCCATTATATAAACCAACTGTAAAATTGATTTAGCGTGTAACTTTAATATAGGACAGCTTTTTCTTGCAGAAGACCTATTCCACTGAGTTGAGTGATTTATCAGTTTAAAGAGCATCAATGTATTTAACTAAATAATTAAGCAATTGAATGGTTGAAGAATTCAACCACACCACTAACCAACAGGAAGTTTTGTAAAAAGATAACAATTATGTAAACACCACCTAGATTTGCAGTCCTGAACATAGCTACTTTCAGTTCCTGGAATACACAGTTTTATAGTTCCTTCGTGGAATTTCTTTAAGTCTCACATACATTACTTTTCTGTCTCCTAAGGAGAGTGCATATTCTGGCACAAATAAATGCCACAGTCCTAGGCTTTGTACTTCAAATGGAATTTTTCTCTCTTTCCATGAGATATTAATCTTCCTGGTTTCTGAAGTATATTGCTGACGTGTTTAGTTATCCTCACTATTAAGAATATCATGCTATATGTAGAATCCATACATCCAGCTTTTGGATCAAGCTTTTGGATCTTGTTAAGCCTTTCTATGCTAAATTAAATAACTTTCTATTACCAGAAATTTTCTGCTTTGAAACTATGATCAAGTTGTATCTTATCCATCTTCTGCATAAATAAAATACCCTGAACTCCTTTATTTTATGTCACACAACAATATTATTATCTCTTGAATAGTTCTTATGTTTTTTTTACACATGTTCTTGAATGTGTGCTGAACTTCTTTCAAGTATCAAACTCAGAGCTAGTTTTCATCTTGGTAATGGTTTCTTTAATACCATGTAAAAGCGTGTATGGCATATTATTATTCCTTAAATTCAATACTGTTTTTTAATACATGTGTGTGGTACCTCTTAATTACCTTAACATATCATGAAATCCTATTTTTTATGTTTTTTT